CCTGGCAAGATTCCTAGCGCAGCCCTGCTGTGCGAGGGGCGGGGGCTACCCCCTGGGGTCCCGTCCCGTTGCCGGTCCCGGTCCGGTGCGGGCGTGACACTGAGGGTTGCGATCCATTGCCAGGCACGAAAAAAAAGACAAAAAGACAAAAAAAAAAAAAAAAAAAAGATCGCTTAAAAGTAATTGCTTTTTTTTTAAATAATCATTGCTTTTATCTATGTACCTTTTTATTCTAATAAGAAAATAACCTTTGGGCCGGCCTGGTGGCGCACTGGAGAGTGCGCCGCTTGGGAGCGCGGCGGCGCTCCCGCCAAGGGTTCGGATCCCATGTGGAGACCAGTTCCCGCTCACTGGCTGAGCGTGGTGCGGGCACAACACCGAGGGTTGCGATCCCGTTACTGGTCAGCAAAAGAAAAGACAAAAAGGAAAAAAGAAAAAGAAAAGAAAGTAACCTGAAATTCTTGTCAAAATTTTCTTGTTTGGTATGTATCTTTATATGTATCTTTATATCTTAGGGAAAAGAATATAGTAGGTTTTTCTCTAAAAAGGTTTAAGAATTGTTTTTAAGAAATTAAATGGATTTTATTGAAAACCTTTTATATACATGCAATTTTTGCCTAAAAATTAAGCAATAAACTTTAATTTTTATGTGTAGAAATATTTAGTAAGAAATCATCTAAAGGTTTTTTTATGTTATATAAGTTCATTTTAAATAAGTAGAGTATTCTTTTCAATCTGTATTAAGAAGCTGTACCAAAATAAAAAAGCTGCTGTATCATAGCCTAAATGTCCTGCAGGTTAGTTCTTCAAAAATGTAATAACCTTAAGATTAATTTTTTTTTTTTCAGGTAGAAGTTCATCTGATGCTATTTTTGCTCACCTTTTAAAATCAAATGATCTAGTTTTCCATTTCTCAGAGACCCAGCTATAGCCTCTGGAATAAATTTAGTTGATTATGAATAAACTCTTTAGAACTTAAAGGAAATGTTTAAAACATTTCATTGATACAACTTGACCCTCTTGACTGAAAGTAATCTTATTCCTTTGTGTTAGTCACCTCATTCATTAAATTGCTCATTTGTCCATTCATAAAATATTTATGTATCCACTCTGATGCCAGTGGGTACAATAGGATGGAAACGTCAATTAGAATTGAATGAATATCTTAAAGCACTTGCCAAGTTTAGTGGGAATGAAGTGATGCACAAAAAATTCTTATTATGGTGGAACACTCAAGTACTATGGAGGTTCAGAAGAGGGAAAAGTTTCCTCTAGGGTAAAAAAGAAAAGGGTATAAGAAGTGAAGAGGGATCTTGGTACAGTAGAAGGCATTTGCCTGGGCCCCTTGACAAGCAAGGAAAGGGGTCATTTGGCGTTGTGCTGTCTGTGTTGTTCACTGTTGACAAGTGTATGTCTTTTTTCCTTAGCTGGTCTGAAAATCCTCTGATGGAACGTGGAAGGCCTTCAATGTACCTTTCACTGATCAAAATTCATTTATGTTTGTTACCTGTCCAAGACACTGCCACGTAATTAATTTTTTTCATAAATGCTGCTTTTTACCATTCCATTTGAAATTCTTTAGTTTGCAGGATTGGTAGCACAAAGATTTCAACAGTTTCCTGCTGAATATCATCCATTTAAAAAACCCATTTTTATTAACGTTAAATGAGTTTGGGATGAATAGTAAAAGTTATGAGCTCTTGAAAAATCCTGTTATTCATGCATCATGTTTTTGTGCTAAGTCCTTAGAATTTTAAGTAGTGAACAAAACATAGTCTCTGCTTTCATGGTATTTATAGTGACGAACACCAAGCTTATTGTTGCGCAGATAGTAAATTCAATATAGTACATATTAATTAAATTTTACAGAAAGTTTATATCAAGGTAGCCTCTGAATTTATATTTATATTTTTCCTTCTACATCAGCACTACTTGTAAATGAACACCCGAATGTTCATCATTATTTTAGAATTTGGTTTTTCTCTGTGTGTTCCAATCAGAATGTGATTAGTCAAGATTTAGGGAAAGAATGTCAAATAAATCCTTAAATTCTGTGGCTTAGGAAAAAAAAATCTCCTATCACTTTATAAGGGAAAGGGGAAACTAGCATGTATTAAGCTTCCACTAAGTGACAGCACTGTGCTAGACATTATATACAAAATATTGGTGAGAATGGCATTGTTCAAAAAACAAGGAACAAATCAAAGAAATAGAGGTATTAATGGAGAAAGAAAAACCTTTGGTAGTTTCTCGTCTCACCTCCCTTTTTTCTTCCTACAAGATTCTTGTTGATGAACTATCTTCTACTAAACATTGGGCATCCATGCATGTTTCAGACCACAGTGGATTTCACTACCGCCAGTTTTTGTTAAAGTCTTTGATTAGCCAAACTGCGATAGACAGTTCTGCATTGGAGCAAAACCCTTTGAAAAGTGAGCCTGCCCTAGTTCCTCCAAAAGATGAAGTAGCAGCAGCTTCGACAGAGAAACCAAGGATAAATCTTCCCCATCTTCTAGAAGAAGAAATTGAATTCAGCACTGACCTTATTGATTCCTACCCAGGACATGAAACTCTTTGGTGTCATAGGTAAGAGAAGGGAAAATCCACTTTCTGCATGAAACTGTGCATGTCCTTATGAGTGCTGCAAATGGTGTTACATCTGACTCCTTCCTGCTTGGGTAAATATGGGCATCTGATTGTGGAGCTTTACCTGAGTGAGTGAGAAAGGGTTTTTGTTACCATATCATCGTTGCCATCATCATTAATATGAGGTTTCTCACACAGATCTTTGCCTGTGGTTTAAGATGGTGATATTCAACCTTGACTGTGCGACAGGATAATATGTGTTACTTCCAAAATAAAACAGAAATAAGGGGGAAAAAAAACTAAAACAAAAGTTTCCGGACTCCCTCCTTGGAGATCCTAAATAAGCACATCCGAGATGGAGTGCTGACATCTGTTTTTGTTTGTTTGTTTGTTTGTTTGTTTAACTCTGGCAGATAATTTGATGCACAGTCAGGATTGAGACTATTGGTTAGACCCTGAGAGTAAGGTAAGCTTTATCATTTTTCCAACCTTGATGGTCTGCAAATTAACTTACCTTAGGTATAATCTCTTGACACATTTTGTTTATTTAAATTAAAGTGTAAGATAATTTCTTTTTGAGAGTGGGGGAAAGACTAGTAGGGAGGAGTAAAAGAGGGTTAGAAATCTGTTTACTTGAGTTTTGAGTACATTTGATAGTAAAGTAAACTTCATGTTGGAATGAAGTCCAGGATTGTGAATTCCCCTTTATTTTGGATCTTCTTCTATTTGGAGGCATCTCTGTCTTCATAAATACAGAGTCTGCTTCAGGCTGTAGGATTCTGTTTGTAAACAAAAGACTTGCCTGTGCTAAGCAGGAGGGTGGCATTTTGAAAGTTTGTATTTTTCTTTTTTTTTTTTTTTTTGTCTTTTTTACTGACCGGTAACGGGATCGCAACCCTCGGTGTTGCGCCCGCACTGCGCTCAGCCAGTGAGCGGGAACCGGTCTCCACATGGGATCCGAACCCTCGGCGGGAGCGCCGCCGCGCTCCCAAGCGGCGTACTCTCAAGTGCGCCACCGGGCCAGCCCAAAAGTTTGTATTTTTCTAAGGTTATTGAGATTTTCCTTCTTTCTCTTGTCTAGTCTTTCTTGTAGGCTATTTGAGGAAATTTGGTCAGCTTCTATTCCATGTCAAATATATTCAGAAGATAGAAGACAATTTCCCCTCTTTGGCACCTTCGTGAATAGAGAATTCTCCTTTTCTCTTAAAACCAGGATACTCTTACTCCATATTTTCAAGCGAGAAGATAGATCTTAACTTGCAGTTTATTTTGGTGTTACAGATTTTTGTTGCTGTTTTGTATTTAGGCATATTAATAGCAAGGCTCGGAAGATTTTTTAAAATTATATGTGTGTTTGAGAAATAGCTAGATTAATAGAGCAGAAGCTTTCCTTTGTTCTTTGTATAAGCATTAAAATTGGAGTTTGAGGGTAGGGTGAGGGGAGGAAAAAAGTTGGGATAACCACTATATAACACAGGAGCTGCTGACTTATTGCCACGAGGCAGTTTGTCCTTTAAGTTTTGCCTTTTTTTTTTTTTTTTCCTTTTTGTCTTTTTTCATGACCGGCAACAGATCGCAACCCTAAGTGTCACGCCCGTACCGGACCGGGCCCGGCAACGGGATCGCAACCCTCGGTGTTGCACCCGCACCTCGCTCAGCCAGTGAGCGGCCGCCGGTCTGTATGTGGGATCCGAACCCTCGGCAGGAGCGCCGCCGCACTCCCAAGCGGCGCACTGTAGCAGTGCGCCACCGGGCCGGCCCTAAGTTTTGCCTTTTAAAATGGGTGTATTGTATGCTTCCTGTTTAGTCCAGAATATGTGAGGTAAATGAACAGAATTACCTTCTAAGGGCTTTAAGTTGCTAATATGAATGATGGGATACGACTTAAAACCTATGCAGTTTAATATATTGTGCCCCTCACTGAATGAAAATTTTTGGACATTAGGCACATGGATCTTCATCTTTGACAAACAATTCCAGGTGATTCTAAGGGCAGGAAAACTCTCTTTAGAGGAAGAACAAGAATTGTGTCTTTTAACATGCTTTGCTTAGAGCATGTTAACATTCACACTGCATGTGGATGTTCAAGACTGTAGTGATAGATTTAGGAGAAAGTTTGGTCGGTTTGTAGATAATAAACTGCAGCAGATCTTTTATTCTTAAAGAAAGTATTGGATGGAGGCCATGGACAAAGCCTCTAGAAGCACCATTTAATCACCTTGTTTCTGAATCCTTGATCTTCTAGGATATCAATGGGGTTAATTTTTGTTTGGATTTGTGTTATAATTTAGAGCAGAAATTGGGCTAAGATCTGTTTTTACTTTCGTGTTAAAGTTACCAGCGAATAACAACTCCAAGTCATTGTTATCATCTCAGTAAATGCTTATTGAAAAACCTTTAGGATAGTATTCTTTCTTACAAAGAAAGTAGTAAGCCAGGAATATAAGGCTTTCTCCAAATACCCAGAGACTTCATTACCACTGTTTTTCCTCCTTCCCCCAGCTAACTCTGGGTGGGTTATGAAGTGGGCAGTGAACTCTAGTAAGCCAGGAATATAAGGCTTTCTCCAAATACCCAGAGACTTCATCACCACTGTTTTTCCTCCTTCCCCCAGCTAACTCTGGGTGGGTTATGAAGTGGGCAGTGAACTGAGTACTGTATGTTTTGAAATTATTAAATTTTTCTTGTTGCTTTTTTCTGCAAAGCTTGACTTTGTCATTTGATTTTCTTTATTTTCTTCCTCTCCCTCCTCCATCACAGGCGGCATGTTTTCTACCTTCAGCATCACTTAAATGGTAGGTATCCTCATAGCATGACCCAGTTGACACCTGGAGACAGCCCTGGGGGGACTTTGAATGACTTGCACTTCATTCCAGCAAGCCCCCAACTGTCTCAGGCAATGGAGGTGGATGGACTGAATGACTCTAGCAAGCAAGGCTATTCCCAGGAAACCAAACGCCTGAAGCGGACCCCAGCTCCAGACTCCCTAGGCCTAGAAATGGAGCACAGGTTCATTGATCAAGTGTTGTCCACTTGCCGGAATATAGAGCAAGCCAGGTTTGCCAATGCATACAGGAAATGGCTGGTTACTTTGAGTCAGTGAAACAGGTGGATTAGCCCTCCAGGGTTCCCCCTTTAGTGCAATATTGCTTTCCTTTCTTACTTACATAGTTGCATGAACTGTTTGCTGTTATTGGCTAACTGTATGTTCTTCACCTTTAGGTTAAAAGTTCGTAGTGAACTTTTTGTTGTATTTATTTTGTTAAGAACTGGCATTCCTTTGGGGATAAAATAATTGTATAGTTTCCTCCTGCTAAACAATGAGTCTTAAATTTTTTTCTTTTTAACTTCTCATTTTATATACTATACATGAGGCTTCTTCTCATTTGGTTCTGCTAATTGGTTCACACACACCTCCACCCACCTCAGTGCAATTGCTACGTAAGCAAATTCTTTATAAACTTAAAAATTTATGTAGCAGTTCAGCTTAAGAACATTAATACAAAGGCAGAATGACTTATATAATTGTTGTTTTGAAAATCAAATGGCTAGATGGATGGATATGTGAAAATACAAACCTGCATGTGGATGTGAAAACACTGCATGTGGATGTTTAAAACTAGTGATGGATTTAGGAGAAAGAGAAAGTTCTCTTTCTCTGTTCTACTCAAGTTATAGACTACCATAACCAAAGTCAGAAGTACTGGAATTTATATGAAAAAAATGCTTCAATATAATCCATCTTTAAAATGGTTATTTAAAAAAAAAAAAAAAAAACTAAGAGTTTATGTAATTGCAATACTGGAAAATTATTTTTCTTACTAGTTTTGATACATTGTTTTTATCTCAAATTTGGTATATGCCAAAACACTCAACTTAGCTCTTAGAAAATCTGTTTTTTTTCCCTAAAACCTTGGAATGCCATTTTTAGTTATTGTTACTTTTTTCCTTCTAAATTCACTCATGAAAAATGACAGAAATATACATACAAATGTATCCATAAAAATCTTTCTTTTTAAAAATTTAAGCTGTTCAGGATGCACTGGATAAACCCCCCAATTTTTTTTTTTTTTTTTTTTTGTCTTTTTGTCTTTTTCCGTGTCCGGCAACGGGATTGCAACCCTCGGTGTTGCTCCCGCGCCTCGCTCAGCCAGTGAGCGGGAACCGGTCTGTATGTGGGATCCGAACCCTCGGGCGGGAGCGCCGCCGCGCTTCCCAAGCGGCGCACTATCCAGTGCACCACCGGGCCGGCTCCTAAACCCCAAAATTTTTTGACGTGACTATTTAAAATAGTTTTGAAGATTAGTTCTTCAATCTTTGTTCTAAAAACTAAACAAAACATTTTGATACTGAATTTATCAGGGGTGAGGTACCAAAATATCCACATTATAGCTGTATCTTATGTTTTCAATAACAAGGGCTGAGTTTTTCAGGTTGGTGAGGCAGGGGTGGGGAAAGGGCCAGGTACAATAATGTTTACTTTCTTATTATATTGCCCCCTTTGTAAATGGTCTGTGTTTCTTCTTTCCACATATGTTTCTCTTTATTTTACCAGTCTGTTTCATGGTTTTTGTCACTTTCACTTTCGTGTACTGTTCCTTATCTGTCTTATTTCACAGATGTGTACTGAAGATACTCTTTTCCCTATTTGCAGTGAATTTCATGCCCCGTGTAAAACACACAGACACACACGTGTGTACTGTTCCTTATCTGTCTTATTTCACAGATGTGTACTGAGGATACTCTTTTCCCTATTTGCAGTGAATTTCATGCCCCGTGTAAAACACACAGACACACACGTGTGTGAACACACACAGGAAATATGAACAAGAGTGCCCCTTTGAAAGTTCCCCTAATGATGGAAGCTGTCTTTTGTCCTGTGTTTGTGCAGAATATGAGTTACAGTAGCAGAAGTAAGTGTGACCACCATGCTTTGCCTGTTTTTTTTTTTTACTTGCTAGGTAATCTGTAGGGTGGGGAGAGAGATGTAGGGAAAGGCAAACCTCTCCTATCTCACTATGGAAAGCCTGGACGTGAGTTAGGTGCATTGCCTTAGGGAGAAATAAATAGGTCCTTTACTTGGGCATCATGATTTTGTTGAGTGGCAGACTGTTGAACTGGATGAGACTTAGGAACACCAGAAAAATTGCCTAGCCTGGTTCCAGTATACAGAAGTTGCTCTTTTCTCCTGGGGTAAAAATTACCCTTTTTTAGCTTTTGTAGTATTTAGGTGAAAAAATAATAGCCATTATGAGCATGATTCCATAACCCTTTATGTGTAAAGCGTATTTTGAATCAAATACCTCAAGGTCTATGTAGACCTCTTTAGATAAAATTCAGCTCCTGCGGAGGTTGGGGTGGGGAGGGAACTACACAGAGAAGACATGGGAAGTTAAACCCATTCCACTAACATATGTTGCCAAATTCTGGCCTCACTTAGTATTACCTTTTTTCAAAGCATTATTTTTAGTATCCCAAGTAATAGGGCTTCTTATGCTTTGATGTGAGAGAGTGTCAGGACGTGAGTGTAGACAATACCCTGTTGAAACATTAGCTAAACTTTTTGTAGTGCCCCCACGCCTTTTTATACCTTCCACTGAGTATCTTGCTCATCTTTGGTGTTAACTTCATGTCATCTAAGGCTCTTAACCCACTCCTTTTTGAAGCCATTTAGTCCTTTAATATATCTTGATCTCTTGTTTTCCTAATAACGTTTTAAGCAAGGAGTGAAAATACAAATATCCAAAGGATACTGTTAGTTTTTGACTTTTGTGTGCTACTTTATGTCTAAAATTTACATTTTTTAAGTGTTCATTCACAGAAAAGCCTAGTTTTACCCCATATGGTTGTTGTTTTCCCTAAGTGGGCATCATTTAAACTCACTAGCTGTGGCATGATAATATCTCTTTGACTGGAAGCTCTCATACAGTTGAAAGGGGTTTCTTAGTTGTCTCATATTTTTCTGTAAATACCTAGTTGTTAAAAGGAAAAGATGGTTTAGATTGACACACATTCCATCAAACTTTCAGTTGAAGAACAGTACGTCATCTTACCATCCTGTGTATCAAGAATACTACTACTGACAACCAAAAAAGCAGTAAGATCTGTAACTATCTCCATCACCAACTTCACCCCACCTTTTTTTTTTTCAAGTATACCTATTTTTGTAATGTGTTTCCAGATTCTTTGTGCCTTGCACAATGTAAAGACTCATGAAATATTTATTAAATTGATGCATGATTAACTGTTTGAAGAAGGGAAAGATAGGTCATGAGTGAGCAATGATTGAGAAATTGATGGATTAGTGCAATGGATTGTGAATGAATGATGCTTTCTACTTTCTAGCTTTATAATAGTTAGGGAGATGTTATCACGTATAGAATAAGTTCATTTAGATTTTTTTTCTTCATTTCATTACCTTGTTTAAACTTGTGAAATCCTAGCCAAGAAATGCAGTTCTCTAACTATCGATTAACTATAATATATATTAAAAATTTATAGAGCTAAAGAAGCCACTTGGAATTAAGAACATGACATTCTGTTCATTTATGATGTTGGGGACAGATCTTGCATGTAGAGCCAGAGCCACTTTTGGGCATCTGAAGAGATTATTTTATTTCAATGACTTGTTGATCTGTATCTGTACGTTGATAATCATGTTATGCTTCCACATCCCCGTCCCCATTTGAACTGTGGACCTTTTAGATATTTCTTAAACCTGAATGAATCATTTTTAAGCTTAAGGATTTGATACATATTAATTTCCCCTTTTTCTTTTGTAGGTTTTAGCATTTTACTACCTCTTTAGAAACTCTGGGCCCAGACTTTCAATGATATTTCTTATTCCTATGGTACAGTTCTAATTTAAATTAAAGGCTTTATTAATTATTAATAAGATTAAATGTACATGGGTACTTCAAAAAGTTCTTGGAGTCATATTCCATTTTTCCATGAACTTTGTGAAGTACCCTCGTATACAGGTTGTCACTAAAAGCCACTTATTTCTTCAGGTAAGGGCTAATGTGACAGAAGATGTGGAAACAAAAGTCTTTGGATTTTTATGGAGCAGTTTGTAAGAAAGCATATATGGTAGAATTTGTGTCATTTAGGTATGGTCAGGTCATGCCAATTCATGCCTGTTGAGTCATACATGTTTGTGTAATGTGACAGAAGATGTGGAAACAAAAGTCTTTGGATTTTTATGGAGCAGTTTGTAAGAAAGCATATATGGTAGAATTAGTGTCATTTAGGTATGGTCAGGTCATGCCAATTCATGCCTGTTGAGTCATACATGTTTGTGTGTACGTGTAGAGGGAACTTTTAATATTGTGAATAAGTTGTCAGCCTAATAATTTTCTCACATAACACAAGATAGTATCTGACACGGGCTAAATGCAATTTAGGAGTGCAACTACCACTTGCTGTACACAATCTGATCTCTACCTTAGTTCCCCTGAATTGTAGAAGATGCTAAAGATTTAGTTGTTAAAGGAAGTAATAAGATCTTTTCTTTCTTTCTTTTTTTTTTGCAAAACTGTTCTAAGCCTACTATTATTTTATTACTAGAAAATTGTATTTTAAAACTTTAAGGTATTAAAAGTATGCTAGGAAATTTGAACAACATTTTAACAACTGAACCTTTTGGTCTTTCGAATAAATTTCTCAAATGGAACCATGCAAACCCAAACCCTAGCACTTGATGTGCTGTGGCCTCCGCACACATAGGTATGCTCGTAAGTAGCTCCTATTTAATGGAGAAGTGTGTAGAGGCACTGGAAAGTTTAGGCAAATTTAGTGTCATGAGGCAATGAGCAAGAAAAATCAACCCTGAGAATTCTGCTTACTGTCACATGGTGTCTTTTAAAACATAACTACACATACTGTGTTAATTCTAGTGCCTTTCTTACTTTTGGTGGGGGGCGGGGAGGCAGACGGTCAAGGTTTTGTTTAATTCTTTTTTTTTTTTTTTTTTTTTTTTTTTTTTTTTTTTT